TGGTATCTTTAAGCATTTTCTTAAATATAGCCAGCCAAATGTTACCTTCTAAACTATGATTTAACGAATTGTAAATTGATGAAGGTTTTTAGCAAAAGAAAATTATAAAATTGTTTGTATTTGAAAATAATGCAGGTTATGCCAAAATTTTTCAATTCAATCCAATTGAACCATGTAGTATTCAAACATCGAATAGGAATTGCGTGAACAAAATGTGAACATTGAGAGGGAAAAAAAAAGAGGTGCGTGGAGCCAATGGCGAAGCCACCACCATCCTCTTAGAAGTTTTCAGAACTACTGTAGTTATCTTAGGAAAAAATTAGTATTTTTTCAATACATTCTCTACCCTCCACTTACAGCCACCACCTTTCTCTCCTAACCACCACCACCCCTCCTCCTCCTCTCTCTCCACCTTTGCTGACCAACTCGCCTTCCCCCTCCACCAATTCCCGTCACCTTTTCCCCCTTTCTCTTTCCCAGAATTATGACATCGCTCCTTCTTCCCTTCTCCTTTCTCCTTTTTTCCTCCACCACATACCACCACTTTTTTCCTACTCTATTCCTTCTCCTCCTACCACTCTCATCCCCTGACCTAGCGGCAGAGTCAGAAAAAGTTTCTAGTGGGGGCAATATATACATATATATATCCAATGTCTTACAAGTTATTTTGTTTATTTAATAGAAAAGACATATCAATATTCATGTAACTCGTAGAATTAACGCATCTATTTTATGAACAATGTAAAAACAAACTCGAATTTACTTGCAAAATTATCATTTTACTTGAAAAAGCATACAAAGTCATTTAAAATTATTTACAATAGGTTTTCATGTTCTGATAATCATTTATAACCTTTTCATTTTCAACTCCTTGTATTTTTATCAATGTAAATAACTAATAATCATTTATCTAAGATTCTAAAATGAATGAGTGATAAATTATGCTATCAAATTCCTAAAAGACTAAATGAGTAATTGATATAACATTCAAGTTTTGTCAATTTCAAGTATTCTTTTGATGTTTTATCGTACATGTGTGAAGATATACCTAAATATGTAGATATTTAATTTTGTTATGAAAATTAGAAAGATTTATGTCTAATTAGGAAACAAATTCATCGTAGGGTAGACTATAAAGTTGATAAAAGTTGCCTTGTTCGGGAAAAAAAAAGAAAAAAAAAATGTGTTGCATTGTTGCTGAAGCCACAAAAATAGAAATGGTGGTCAAAGGAGGGTTGTTAACCCTCCTCCGGCTTCCAGGTCGCCGATAGATGCTAGTGACAACAACTAAAAGAAAAGGCCAGCCAAATGAGGACAAGCAGTGGCGCTCAGCCACCACAGTGCCGAGCAACCGCTATTGTTGCTACTAGCGCAACATTGTAAGACTGTCAGCAATGAGGGAGAAGACGGCGAGGTTGACAATGCAATGATGGGGATGAAGTTTGAAGATTTTATTTAGAAGTTAGGGTTCTGGAAAAAATTTTGTGTTGTGGAAATTGGAGAAAGAAGAAAACCCATTTGTGTAGATAGGTCAAGAACCGGGTAGGCTAAAGTGAACTGAGTAGGGTAATTAGAAATGGATTCAAGTTGGTGTATTCCTTTTCAGGTCGGGCATGGATGAAAAGGAATTGGGTCAAACTATAGTGGATTGTGATGGGTTTTGTTAAGTTAGATATTGGATCGAGATTAAAGTAGTGTTGGACTAAAACTAGAAGACAATAAAGAAATATTTGGGATAAACAACCTTGGGCCGATATCAATCATTGCAGAAAAAAATTTACAAGTATAATTGGGCCAAAAATATATTATAGGCCTAGTAAATTTTCAATTAATTAATCCCATGCATAAGACTAACTTAATTTAGTTTTGGGCTATAAATTAAGTTATTAAGACTTATACTTAATTAATTACATCCAAGATATTTAAATAAAGTCTAAAACATATTAACCTAACATTGTTAGGAAGATTTATGAAGAGTAAAATAAGTCTTAGATATTTAAACAAACGTTCAATATAAAATAAAACTAATAATGATAACAATAACAAATAAATATATATATAAATGAAAAATGAAATAAAAGTATAAATGAAAATAAAACAAAATAATATATATATATATACACATATATATAAACAAAAATAAAATGAAAAATATAAATGAAAAAAGAAAAATTATATATATAAAGATAAAATAATAAAATAATAAAATATTTATATAGATGAAAATAATAAAGATAATAATAAAATAATGATAAGCAAGATAATAATAATAATAAAATAATAACAGTTCATATAATAAACAATAATCAAGATAATAGTAATAAAATTGAAATAAGTATAATTATTTCTAAATTACGAAACTTTATAAAAGTTGAGGAACTTTCCAAAAATAGAAACTTTCAATTTAGAAAACTTTCTCATACTTCATATAGTTGTCCATACCTGAATTTACTCGAGCAGTTAGTCAAAGGTAGGTGATGCTTATCCCTCTGTATTTTGAAATATCAAATGTGAAATTTTTCTTAAAGACAAGTTTTATTTTGTTTTATGAAAATGGATCATGTAATGTTTTGACATGCTATAAATTAGGGGTGGCAATTCCTGACACGACCCGAAAACACGACACGAACCTAACACGAAATTAATGGGTTTGGGTTGAGGTTTCGAGAGTTCGGGTCAGAATCGGGTCGAATCCGATGAACCCGAAAAGAAAACAGGTCAATTTCGGGTCAACCCGTGGTGACCTGATATGACCCGATGTGACCTGTTTATGAATTAAAACTAATTTAATAAACATAAAAATTATTTTATCTAACTAAACTAAATCATTTTTTTTCCAAAGGCATTAATTACTTAATCCTAAATGAATTTATTTAACTTGTGTGAAGTTAAAATTATTATATTTGGACAAATAATATATTATGTTATTTTTTACTTTTATGCTGTTTTAATTTATTTTATATTTGGTTTGGGATAAAACACTTTTATGGTGTTTAATTTATTTTACATTTGGTTTGAAATTATTTATTTAAATTTTTATTACTTGATGATGTAATTAATTTTGTGAAAAATTGATTTTATTAGAAATTACAGTGATAAATTAATAAATTAAAATTAAGTTTCGGGTCATTTCGGGTCGACCCGCCAACACCCGCCAACCCGAAATTTTCGGGTTCGTGTCAGGTACCCTGACCAGTTTCGGATTGGCGGGTCGGGTTCGGGTCAGCAGGTTCTTTGTTATACTTAAGCATCAACCCGACCCGCCAACCCGAACCCGACCCGATTGTCACCCCTACTATAAATTACAAATTTGAGTGGCATGTTTTATGAAATAAGAGAAAAGTGCATGTGATATATGAAATGAATTTATGATGAGAAAATCTCTTAACGATCATAAAATAGACTATAGGGACTATAATTCTGGCATATTATGTTATATTAGTCATGGGAGTCAATATAGAATCCGACCAATTGACTTATGTTATGTGATCAAGCAGTAATCATGAAACCTCTTGGTCGCCCTCTTAAAAAGAGTTTAATATTTAGGCTGAATACTCAGAAATCGGATATTACATGTACTAGTTATGAGCTAATTTGAAATATTTACGTTCTTACAACTTCTTATATATGGTTGTGGATGGACTGAACTATAACTTGCCATTACCACTCATTAATAATGTATATTACCAATTTAACATTGTTTGAATAATTGTGCATGCGATGTATGAAGATGTTTTTGTTAAGTGTAATGCTATAATTACATTATCCAACAGAGGAATAGTTGCTACCTACTGAACAAATATTGCTCAATCCATTTTCACCACTTTTGCAGATCTTTGAGATTTTGAGTTCGTCCATGTCGAAAACCCTGAAAATGATTTCTACTAAATTCCTAGTAGACAGGATATAATAGTATGGTAGTACTTAGTTATATTGTAATAGTAGATGCTTGCATATACTAACTTTATTAGATGTGGAGCATATGGACTCCTTAGTTAATTAGGGGATGTTGCTAGTTTCCAATTTATATCGCACCATACTAGGTGTTATTAATACTATTTTATTTTAGTTGGTTTCCTAGTTTTATGTTGCCTTGTATTTCAAAAGTGAGACTTGAGGAATAGGACAGATGTCTCGTGACTAGCACCACATACGTGTTAGGGGTGTGACACGAGAAAAGAAAGAGAGGAAGAGGAAGAGGAGAAGGAAGTGGAGAGGTGCAGTGGTGGGAAAGGAGGATGGAGGAGATGAAGGGATAATGGCAGCAGTAGTAATGTATGGCTAGTGGTGGTGACGTGTGGTGGGTTGTGATGGAAGATGATGGGTAGAAGAAAAAAGAGGTGTTAAGGTTTGTTTTATTTTTAAAATTTTTTAAATGTTGTTGTTAGTGTATTTGAGCTATATTTGGAATATACTATTGTAATATTATATTTGATATGCTATTTTTTTTCAAAAAAAACTTTCAATCCAAATAATTTTTTCTCTTTATGAGTCAAAGGAATACGGCTGGTCTTGGGATTCTGTTTCATTAAAAATATTTTTGTTGTTTCATAGCTCTAACATTTTTTCTGTTTCAAGAGATGATGCTTGGACAAACTTCGGCACTATTTGGACAGTAGATTTAGTTTGCAATTTAACCTTTTAGAAAATAATTGTTTGGACTGGATAAAATAATCATTCTCCAATTTGACCCACATTGGATTCCTGGATGTCAGCAGCCTTTTGTACAAAATACTTACTACACAACAAATAATACGACCTGGCTGGCACTCTTTCCAAATGTGAAGTAAAAGTAACCGTTGGTGGCAGAGTAAAGCCATTTACTCCTCAAAGAACCGACAGGCTTCACGTGTTCCTTTCCTCTCCCATATTTTGCCCATTTTCATCTAGCTCGAAACGGTCATCAAACTCCGACCACATCCAGCCAGGTATTTGAATTGTCGGCGAACATCAAACTCTTTCCAATTGTCGGCGAACATCAACTTCGCAATTTGAATTGCTTGCGTTTAAGAAGGTGGTGGGCTTTCATTCAGCTTCTCAATTGCAACACTCCAGCGGCGATTTGTACTTGCCACACTCCAGCGGTGATTCCGGCATGCTCTCCGGCAGGTATGTTCCTTCGATTTTCTGCCAACTACTTCTGATTAATTGTCATGCCTCAAACAGAAAAAGTGCCAAAATACTCTGCGTGGGAGTGATATGAATGTTTAACAGCTTAACTTTTAAATTAAGGCTAAAGATTAGAGACTCAAAAAATAAATATTGGGCATAAATGCCATGGGTAAAATAAATTTTTAGATTGGGGTATAACTCTATTAACCACCAGATAAAGGAAGGAGGTCAGGTTCCTCGTAATTTAAGGATGTCCATGAAATAGATTTAGTGCTATGAAATAGATTTAGATATCCTTAACAAGCGTGAGGCCGTGAAAATATTCCTGATTGTTTTCAACTTCAGGCTTCACCAAATTTCATCTCTTCTTGTTAAAAGAGCATTAGGAGATTTATTCTGCCAACCCCGGTGTATAATGTACAAAACCTTTTCTTACTACAATCTGGAAGCAATTCTTAGTGATATGTCGTTCATGTATGATCCAATCAGGCATTAAGGTTTATACAGCAACAACTGCAGCAGGTATGCTTGCGATCGTAGGAGTCCTACTAGACTAATAGATAAATATATAGTCTCTTCACAAAATTTAATCACACAAGCCACTCCATTGTGTTTCTGGCCACCAAATCATTTGGTTGAGCGTTTTGTTACAGCATCACCACAGTAATGACACATGTGAACAAAAGGACTGAGATGCAGCAATTTGAGGAAAACAGAATGCATGCAAAGAACTAAATCCTTCTGAAATGAATAGTGATTGAAGTGAACTATAGATTGACAGAAGAGTAGAAAATATTGAACTCACCAAACAAAAATACAGAGAAAACAACTACAACACACATAGCACAAACAAAAATAAAATGGGAAAAAAGATCCCCTGGTAAAATACTAAATACGAAGACTTCTGAAGCACAAACTTATTGTAATTGTTGATTATAATATGAAGCATGTCAATCGCTAATTCTTCAAGAGGAAGCAGTGACACATTGGTTTAAGTAGTCTGCGACAGCTCAATCTGCCAAAATATGAAGGCAATCTCAAGATATCATATGAGTTAGCAGGATTCTAACCATCTATTAATGCAACTTAACGTTAACTTTATAATGGAACTTTTGTAAAGCCTCACAACATTCTATATGCATTGAAAGCTAATTATAACCTATGCAATGTCTAGGTAATCAGAGAAACAGGCAAACAGAACAAAAAATATTTAAATACAAGAATTATTATCCTTAAGAGAGATTACCTCAGCAAGTAGCTCAGGGTCTGAAAAACAAGTAGATGTTTATCTTAAAAAAGTTCCTATCATTAATGTTTTGGCTGCCATTGCTAATCTGAACAACAACGAAAATTGTAAACTATTGACTTTGGGTATCTGATGAATAATAATTTATATATGTCCAGCTGCTGCCACCTTATTTGTGTGCCGCTGTTAGCTCTTCGGTTATGACCGCTGACAAGAGGAAGAAGCCTTCTTGCGATTGTATGTCCTTCTTCCATGTTCACATGTATGGTCGAGTAAATTTCGCTCTTAATTGATTTAGTCTTACCAGTTATGTATCCTATTTTGTAGCCTCACCTGTTAGCTGTACTTCCGATTGCTCCTCCCATTCGTCAACAACCTCTAACAACTACATCGACTGCCTGTCGACCTACATTGAGGCAAGTCAATTCGCAATGCAGAAAGCTTGACCTGATTTATCCCACCTATTATTTGTCGCTTTATTTTTTCCAAAGTACTTTAAAATATTGTAGACATATCCGTTTCTGAAATACATTTTTTTTCCCACGTTTTTCAGCAAATGGCCTCCAGGATTCAATGGACCGATGCAATGGATGAAGCTTTCCTCATAGCCTATGTTAGTTTTAGGGAAAATAACTGGTGGGACAACAGGAAATCGCTAGAGACAAACTACGACCAGTTGGCAGCACATTTGGTGAGTAATGGAAGCTTGACCGTCACTGGCCAACAGCTGCAGACCAGATTCTATCACATCAAGAAGAAATGGGACCTATTCTGTAATCTGCGTGGGATATCATCAAAAGCAGAGACCGGGGTTGGGTGGAGTGAGGACACCTTCTGCTTTACTGCTGATGATGAACATTGGGAAAACTTGGTCCAGGTATGGACTTGTAGCTGCCTTTATTTGTTAATTTACTTCCTTACGATGCGAATTGAATGCCTAGTGCTGCAATAGAGGAATTCTCATTTCTGGAATTTTGTTAATAGTTGCACTGTTTCGAATTCCCATTGCTGCTACTACTGCTATTTGTTATTTTACTTTTGGCGGATAGTACTAGTCTTGGTGAGGATAGTTTTTGCTATTAGCTGATTCGATGCTTAAGTAGATGTGTCTTGGTGATATTGGCTTGATGAAATTTGGATTTCTGTTTGACTGTCTCCTTTAGAGCGCTAGAACTGCATGAACTTGAGAGACAGATGGGGCATAACTGAAAAGTGGGAAAACTATATGCTATAAGAACTAGGCTCACCAAGTAGTTGGTCTTAACTGTGATAAAATCAAGCTACCATACACTACTGTAGGTGCTGGCTGCTACTACTTGTCTAAGAATTTCCAACCATGACTACTTGGGACCTGTTCGCTGCTGCTATCTACTTCAACCAGATTCATTCACATTAATTCTATGGCTACAGCTTATTTTTCCCAAGTTGGAAATTGTAGATTGCAGCAGCCATAACCCCCAAATATATTAAATGATATATTAATGACTTCCATCATGTGAATATGTTTCTGTACGCAAAAGGGCCTGTTTTCGGTAGGGGTCATATAAGAAATGGCATGCACTGTTATTGTTTTGAGACCACTACTTTGGACTGAATATTGCTGTCCATTGTTCCATCATTTGTGGCTTGAAATATGCGTTTCTCAATTGTATGAATGGTTCACTAGCCATATTGTTCATATGTGTTCACTTTGCTGCCTTACAATTAGTTTTAGTCTTTTATTATCTTGTGACAATAGTACATAATGGATACTGGTAGTGGCTTTAATCAACACATTTGCTGGTTAAATTTTGCCGACTCGTATATTAACTGAAATGCATCTCTATTGCATGTACGAACTACCTATTTCAGTAGTTAAGTAGTATTGCACGCCTCTTTCCTTTGTGCTGACTACAGATTTGCATTTCATTAGTCTAATGCGGCGTATGCTGAATTCAAAAAAAGAGAACTCCTACTACTGGTATGATCGACTGACACCATTACTGCTTGGAAGACACGTCACAGGCAGCCGTGCCCAATCGGCAAGCGAAGTAGTACCATCGAAACCACCTCGCCGTGAAAGGGCCAATACTTCTGCTAGGAGCCGGAAGGGAAAAGGTAAAGCCTCTATCTCGAGGGCTCCTAATCCGGCAAACATGGGCGACCAAGAGGATGAAGATGACGTGTACTATGTGCCGCCAGTTCCAGGGGCAGTTGGAGGTAAAAGGTCAGCGTCAAGCCTAGGGACCAACGGTGAACCGGAGGGAACTATAGGGTCAAAATCTACAAGGTCATCTACAGGTCTTGAGGATGCTATTAGCAAAATTGGAAATTACTCCGACGTGGTACTTGAGGACAGATGGAGCAGGATGGAGTTCGAGTCCCTCTATAGCGTAATCCAGTACCAGGATGTGATCAACACAATGGACATTCCGCTAGAATGGAGAATACACGCTAACTGTCATTATGCGAATTATGAAAAAGAGGGTGAGCGCGTTATATTCCTTCGGGCTTCTGCAACTGACCAGTACGGCTATATCCTTAAGTTGATGAAAGAGAAAGGCTTGGCTTGAGTTGTGTGGGCAGCTGAAAACTAACGTATTTCGAGAACTATTATATTATTATTGTATGTGTTGTTGCTGAAAACTAGTTACTTTTTACTCTTTACTTGTTGGAGTCAGTTACTCTTTGCTCTTTGATGTGTATAAGCCTACCCCGCGTTGGCTTTGAGAGTAGGCTTTCTGAGGACATATGAAAATAAAATATATGTATTGTCTTTGAGAGTCATGATGGGGATTTGTATCGTGGTTACAATTTCAGATTATTTTTACAGCTATTTATAAGTAAACCGCATTTGGTTATATTTTTATGTCAGATGTTTGTTGTGTTTCCTCTGGCTTTTGGTTTATATATTTTAGGGTGCAGTATAGGACATAAGCTCTTCATTCATCTCATATTTTTGTTTCAGTACCTATCTTCTTTGAGTCATGATGTATGGGACGGTTCTATTTGTTATGTAATCAATAAAATATGAATTGAATATAAAAACTACATATATAAGTTGTAATTGTCAGTTTTGGAATGCAAATTTGATGAATTAAATAAAACATGAAGGATTAATTAGTTAATTCATCAAATAATGACAACTTTTTATTGGTCACTGCACTTTTTGGTTTGAAACCGAAATATGAGAAACTTGATCCAAAACAAAAAAAATACCACGCCATTTTGTTATTTGCTTCGCTCTCAAGCATAACTCACAACAGTCACTTTGACAGGGGACTTCAAAGAACAAAGCAGAAATTAGATCTTGCAAATGCACTTTGTTATTTGGTGGGCCTTCAAAATGTGTAGATGCTTTACAAATTCCAAACGTGCTAAAGCAACGAGGTGACCACTAAGGATCAACTTCCACTATGTTTCAGCTTTGTTGCTGTGCCTATTTCCCTACGCCACTAATGCCTACTGCCCTTTGCAGTTTTTATACCCACAGAGAGACAGTTCAAGTGTAAAATGTAATGCTTGAGCGTGGTGAAATAATTCGGACCTTGAGGCCAGGCTGAAATAATTAGTCCATGGGGCCAGGCTCCCTACCAAGCATGGAGATAGGTTTTGTATGCTAGTGATTTTTGCTTTTGCTGGTCCACAGAAGTCTGAAAAGTAGAAGTGTGATGGACTTGTATGTTTCCACTTGCAAATATTCAGGATGGATTTGAAATTACTCTGCAGGTATGCAGTAGCACATAAATACAGAGTACTACAGGGCTCACAAATTGCAGAAATGCATGTGCTAATCTGCATCCCAAGGCCTTAACCACCATAAAGTGGCAACTTGTGGGTGGAAGTTCTTATCGTAGTACGATAACCCAAATGCATCGCAATGCAGATCAGCCATCCACCCCAATAAATATATCATACTACCTTAAGAACTTGCAGAGTACCTCGCTACTCCTAAAATCACAAGAACGAAAAGTTCGAGGCACCTTACCAAGACGAATAGCCGGCAATTTCTTCTCCCAAAGTAGCGTTACAGTTGATTGTGTACGTGCTTCTCTGTGTGGGCAGAGAGTGTGGCAAAACGTTCTGTACGTGGTGTGCCAGTGGAAGCGAGGTAAGTAGTAGCGGTCTCTTTGTAATAGTGCAATCTAAATTCATTTCTGTGGTTATTTAGTTCTTGTATGGGAATCGTTTATACTCTCATTTAATGCATTGTACGTGTATCGTGAAAGGGTGATTCATATTTTCATGTTCAAAGTGATATCAGAACAAAGTGGCAGTTATTTGAGGTATTACGATTCAAAAAGGGTCAGTTAGAAGTTATAGCTATGGCTGGATAATTAGATAGACCTTTTTGTGGTAGTACGAATCCAACTTTTAAATGCATAAATGTATTATAAATCCATAAATGTATATTTATATAAAAATATATAAATTATAAATCACAAATATATTAATTTATACATTTATATAATATTCATTTATAATTATATATATTTATAATAATATATATTTATACATTTATAAATATATTTATATTATATTAAAAGTGATATTGCCAAATACGTGCTATAAAAGTCATATTGCTAAGTATTCTATTTAAAAGTCATATTGCTAATTTATACTCCATAAAGCTACTCTAGTTTTCGTAATTGGTTTGAGAGGATGATGAAAACTCTAATGGGACATGTCTGACCAATTACATACTTATTTAAAGCCATTTTATGTCTAGATATCCGATATTTAATTTATTTTCATTAACACGTGTATTAACACATTTATGGAATTGGTTATACACATACGAACACGCTTATGTAAACATATATACAGATATATACTCAATTATCATGGCCTGGAACAACCGCCGTGGTGCTAGAGGACGCAATGCAAATCGCATGAGGCAAGACGAGGAAGATGAGGCCTTACTTCTTATGAGCGCCTCGTTAATGTTAATGCATCCGTCACTTGCACACGTGGATAATAATCAACCACTTCCGCAACATGATGGTTCATTCACAGATAGGCAGTGGGTAGAACGCGTACTCTACGGTCATCATAGACGCTCAATAGATAACATGCGTATCACGGTTGATAATTTCTTGCTACTGTCCAATATCCTTGTCGAGAGACAGTACGTTCCACACAATTACCAACAGCGCGTGCCCATACAGGAGGCGCTTGCTATGACTTTAATGTTGGTCAGCCACAAGCATACGCACTGTGTGTTGGGTACTATTTTTGATCGATCCATCGAGACGATTAATCGAAATATAAAAAAGGTGCTCCGAGGCCTGTGTCTATTTGCAACTGAAATAATACGATCGGGTGACCAGACTGCAGTTCATCCACGAATTGCAAACTCAACTAATTTTTATCCATGGTTCAAGGTAATGTGGAAAGCATAAGTGATTTTTGGCTTGATGTAGTAAGACGATTCTAGAAAGTTGATTATATATATTTTTTACACATATTAGGATGCCGTGGGAGCGATGGATGGCACTCACATCTCAGCTTGTCCTCCGACAGGCGAGCAAATGGCATATACAAATCGGCACGGGTGGCAATCACAGAATGTTCTGGCAGTTTGTGACCATGACATGCGCTTCATCTATGTGTATGCTGGATGGGAGGGAAGTGCACACGATGCGCGAGTGTTGGAGTCAGCATTAGCATATCCGTCCGATTTTCCACTGCCGCAACCTGGTAAGTGATGGGTCCAATATTTCAAGTCAAGCATGTACTATGCTTTATTACCACAACTCCTATTTTTTATCGCGCACAGTAATTAGAATAACTTTGTCAATTAGGCCAGTACTACTTAGTTGATGCGACATACAAGAATGCTCCAGGTTTCATGCCCCCGTATAAGAACGTGGGGTCCGAATCTCCGGCAAAGGCCTTGTTCAATACTCGACATTCGCAACTTCGCAATGTCATTGAGCGCACATTTGGTGTGCTTAAGAAAAATTCAAATGGTTAAAGGGTCCGGTAGATAATTTCTATATGAGCACTCAAATCAGTATAGTCATTGCTTGTTGTGCGTTGCACAACTTTTTAAGGATGCACCAACCAGAAGATGCCCATTTTCAACGGTTTGAATCAGAAGACGTGCACTTAAATGAAGAGCCAGAAATAGGCGGGCTAGTACCTCAACCGTTCGCATTAAACGTATCTCCTGCAGAGCTGGCGGAATGGAAAGCTAAACAAGACTACATAGCGACTCAAATGTACGCAGCACGGGGGCGACGCCGCCGTTAGGTGTTCATCGCATTACAAAGGATTGTAATTGTCCAGGCAATTTATTTTCCCATGTGTAGAGTGTACTTAAAATGCCCTCGATTTTCAACTTCTAAATTAATCTGTACCGTTTGTGTATTAAGTATGCAATTGGTTTAGCGTAAACGTAGTATAAAGTCAAAATTTTCGAAGTCAAAGTCAAAATTTTCAAAGTCAAAGTCACCTGCTTAAATTCAATAATGAGCACCTGTCCAAACGCTAATTTACACGATTTACTTACTATCTAAACGCTTATTTCATATTTACGCAATCTTAAAAAGTAACCTAAAAAATATCTCAAATAACTTACAATCCAAACGGACCCTTCATTTTTTTTTGGCTCCTTTCGAGCCGTTGGTGCTTGTTGTTTTTGTTTTCATGAGGTACTTGTGCTTGCTGCATTTATTTGAGTAGTTTGTGTTGTTGAATTTTCTTCTATAACTTCATTAGTTTCATCCATTGCATGGGTATTTCAACACTCTATCTCCTCTGCTTCCATGTTGTGAACAACATCAACAAATTCTTCAACTACTTGACCAATAACTCTATCCCTTCCATACACAATTTTCAAATCATTCTGATCAGAAAAACTTAACTCCTAAGTACCTTTTGCTTTTCTATATTTCTGTAGATGTTCATGATCTAATGTCGAAACTAGTTTCAAATATTAACAAAAAGAAGTGAAAAACTTGTGAACATATTAGAAATATGAATTTACATACTTGCCTTGATCCAATCATCATATCACTGTCTCTCACACTATATTTAATGTTCATCATCATTCCATTTGCAACCACTTTCTTTCAGCATTTCTATAATTGCGTGATATTTGCCTTTCAAGCACTTCAACTTTGAGTCAATGTGAGGAGAAACCAACTTAGTAAAGATTGGCATCTTAATTAAAATCCTTTTATATAACTCAACCATATAATTGTTCTTGAACCCACAGTCAACTTTTCATATGGGATCACAAGCAAGTTCTTGTAATGCTTCAGTCAATACATTTGATTCATCAGAGGTTCGAAAGCATTTGTTTCTTCCTCTACCTCTAACTTTTTCACTATGTTGTAACTCACCAATGTTCATGCTACTATTAATATGCAATAACATGCACAACTAAAATAATAACAAGAAAATCTGAAGGTAAAATACATTTTAAAGCAAATCGCGAGGTAAAATACATTTGAAGCAAATAAACAATGGCTATCAAATGCTTAATTTAAATAAAAAAAACCTTAAAGTACATGTTCATAATTGAAAGTAAATATAGAAAATAAAAAATATATAAGAAATCTGATGCATTTACTCAAGGCTCAATCTCCACTCGTAAAACATTTGTTGTGCAAATTATTTCTGAAATTGACCCAATGATCAATAGCTTATATGGTGGTTATGTATTCAGTCTCATGATCTTCAGCATCACTATCTCCATCAAGGTCATCTTTCTCTATACTCATTGAGTCATCTAGTTAATCTATCATTTTTTGACTCCTTATTAAGTTATGTAAGAGACAACAAGTTAAGATGATTTGACCTTGGGTTCAAATAGGAAAAAATGATGGGGATGCAAGAATCTTCCATTTTCTCTTGAGTAGTCCAAAACATCTTTCTATGACATTTCTTACTTTAGAGTGCCTTATATTGAAAAATTCCTCTACAATTTCTGGTCGATATCCTTCAAATTGGTTGAGATGATATCGTTTCGTTCCCATCAATAAGGAGCAAGAAATCTCTCAGAGTTACAATATCCATCATCAACCAAATAATAACAACTTTCATTGAGATATGTACAAGTTAGATTAAACTATTCTATTAATCACCCAAGTAATCCTAATAGATATCATTGGTACCTTGAGGGACTTTTAGTCCATTAGGCCTACATATCGCATCTTATCAAACACGTCCATCATGGGCAGAGCCCTCCCAACTAGGTAAGACGTAGATAAATTGCATGTCAAATGCACAAATGCCTAAAACATTCATTGCAAGATCTAATTTTCTTGTTCGATATCTTGATTTTTCCTCTTTAAGTGGTGTGACTTTAATCGTTATACCGTCTAGAGTACCTAGACAATTCTACAATAGAAACCAAAAAAGGAAAAAGAAGAAGAAGAAGAAAAACTGCACTTAAATTCAAATGAAACTAGCACTCAAAAAGTTAAAAAATCTCAAATATAATGTATGAATACCTAAAAACATCTCCATCTCTCGTCATTACAATCATTGTCAATCGGTTGAGGAGTCTTAAGCAACAAGGTATGCAATTTCAGCACAGCTAAGAGGCATGAATTAAAGTTATGATTCATGATTTCTCCGCTTCTTAAGAATTTATGTAATATTGTTCTATTTTTTTGTGATAAGCTAAGGTATATAAAAACATTGCCACAATTTCTTCCAAACTCATAAATTTTGTGTCTTTTAAACCACTAACATCTCTAACTATCTCACACAATAAGCCAAAAGTGCATCTATCAATGCAGAGTTCACTCTTACAACCGGTGTCACTTTCTTTAACTAGTCTAAACATATAAAGCATTCTTTCAACTCCTTTTTCCTTAGTCCTTGTTAACTGTTGCTTTTTGTTTACTAAATACAATATAGAAATATGATACCATAATGCAAAGATAAGAACCAGAGCTACAGCCAAAATACACATTACACGAATATTACGAATTCGCCTTTGTCATCTCATTGTCCTATTACCTGGTTGGGAAGGCTCTACCCATGTTGGATGTGTCTTATGAGATACTATATATAGGGCTAATGGACTAAAAGTCCCTCAAGGTACTAATGATATATTTAGGATTACTTAGGTGATGATTAATAGAATAATTTAATTTAACTAGACATATCTCAATGAAGGTTGTTATTATTTGGTTGATGCTAGATATGGTAACTCTGAGGGATTTTTTGCTCCTTATCGAGGCAATGATGTCATCTCAATCAATTTGAAGAACGTCGATCAAAAACTGTAGAGAAATTTTTCAATATGAAACGTGCTAAAACAAGAAATGTCATAAAAATGTGTTTTAGACTACTCAGGAAAAAATAGAAGATTCTTGTATCCTCATCATTTTTTATTATTTGGACCCACGGTTGAGTCATCTTAGCTTATTGTCTCTGACATAACTTAATAAGGAGGCAAACAACAATATATGAACTAAATGACGTAATGAGTATAGAGAAAGATGACCTTGATAGAGATAGTGATGCTAAAGATCATGAGACTGAATACATAACCACCATACAAGCTACTAATCATTAGGTCAATTTCAAAAATAACTTAGCACAACAAATGTTTAATGAGTGGAGATTGATCCTTGAGTAAATGCATCATATCTCTTATTTATTTTTTATTTTCTATGTTTGTTTTCAATTATGAACATGTACTTTAACATTTTTTTAAAAATTAAGCGTTGAAAATCATTGTTTATGTGTTTCAAATATATTTTACCTCGCTATTTGCTTTAAAATGTATTTTACCTTCAAACTTTCTTATTATTTTTGTTGTGCATGTTATTGCATATTAATAGTAGGATGGACATTGATGAATCACAACAAAGTGAAAAAATTAGAGGTAGAGAAAGAAAAAAAATGCTTTTGGACCTCTAATGAATCAAAGGTTTAGATTGAAGCATTACAAGAACTTGCTTGTTATACCACGTGGAGAGCTGATTGTGGGTTCATGAACAAATATATGGTTGAGTTACATAAAAGGGTTTTAATTAAGATACCAATCTTTACTAAGCAGTTTTCTTCTCATATTGACTCAAAGTTGAAATGGTGAACGGCAAATATCACGCAATTGCAACAATGCTGAAAGAATGTGGTTGCAAATGGAATGATGTTGAATATAAAATACAATGTGAGAGACAGCAGTATGATGATTGGATCAAGGTAACTATGTAAATTCATATTCTAATATGTTTGCAAGTTTTCGCTTCTTTTTGTTAATATTTGAAATTAGTTTTGACATTAGATTATGAACATCTACAAATACATAGAGGCAAAAAGTGCTTGGGACTTAACTTTTCCTTATTTAAATGATCTGAAAATTGTGTACGGAAGGAATAGAGCTACTGTGACGCGCCGAAAAACTGTGAATTATTTTCTTATTTTATATTAATTATTTTAATTCCTTGCATACATTTTCTACACTTTCCTTTATTATCTTAATTTTATAGATATTTTATAAGGGAGTCAAGTTTTTAAAAAACATTTTTCTAATATAAGTTAGTTCATGTGTCGGCAGTAGCGCACTATGGACGTGAGACCCGTTAGTGCGATAAATTTTGACAACTAGGTGAATTTTGCATAAAGGGATATTATTTTACAAGGTACTAGGAGATAATTAAAGGTTAGTTAGATAAATTAACCATTGGATCGGAAGACAATTAGATGAGAATTAACTCTTGGAGTGCCACTTGTCACAAAACCAATGGACCTTGACTTTGACCAAGACTTCTCTTAACCTTTATCTTGGAAAAAATTGGACAAAAATCCTTCATTTCTTTCTTTCTCTTGGCCGAAGTTCTTAGCTAGAAAAGAGAAAAGAAAACCTCAATTCCAACTTCAATCCTTGCTTGAATCTTCAAGATTTCATCCTAAGCTTGCAATCCAAACCATAGAAAGTGACTTTAAGAAAGGAAGAAGACTTTTGGTGGAGAAAGTTGGGGAAAAATGAAGCTTATGGTTGCTTTTTTC